TATATCTGAGTGTTAAAGGGAGCGATTTGAGACAGTAATACTTCATGATATTTGGGATTAGACTTTCTTCTGTCAAGAACACATTTCCCCACTCATACTCACAGGTCTGACTCTCTAAGGAGGGCTGCATCCAGGGATCTATTTCACTTCTCTGTCAGTTGGCCCAGAGATGGCTACTGTGTGGAATCAACAAATCAATAATGCACCAAAACTTCAAGACTTGACTTACATTTAATCATTATTTTCAATTACTTACAAAAGCATTCAATACTAATCAATGGTAAAGCAGGCTTGAATGCTGTCTGCCTGTTCTTTATGTACTAAGGAAGAAAACTAGTACTGCTTGGATTTTCCTAGGTACTAAACTACCAGGCATTGTGCCTAGGGTCTAAAAAGTCACTTTATCTAAGAATTAGTATTCTCATTCTATGATTAATTCTAGACAGGAAACTTCAGACAAGGGTGAAAGTTGAGCTTTTCATGTCTGTGTCTGGCTTAAAATCCTGACCGCAAGGCTCTGGGCAAGTTCTTCATAACCATAGTCTTGGTTTCCTATGTACAAAAGGATGGGGGCCAGGGATTTAGCTCAGTGGTTTCGCCGGCTGCTGTGCAAGCTCAAGGACCCAAGTTAGACCCCCGGTACCAAAAAAAAAAAAAAGATGGTAAAAATCTTCTGTTCATCAGTGGGCCACTACATGAGGTGATCTATTTCAAGTGTGTAATCTAGTACAAGCTGATAGCTAACTCTCAAATTTATCATGACTATAGTCATTACAACTATTATTGAGAGCTTATATGACATTTGAAGACAGCTAATAGCAGTTTTACAACATTTTTAACAAAAATTGTCTCAAGTCTAAAGCCATAGAGCCTGTCTAAGGCATTGTGGTACTGCTATAATTATAAAGCTAACAGGTTTTGGAATGGTCAGGTAACAAAACATTTTTTTGTGTGTTTCCTTCTCTGGTAGAAACACTGCTCTATGCATATCCATGTGCTCCACTGCACTTCCCAGTCTCCCTTGCTGAGTCAGGGCCCGTGGCAGCTAATTCTGGGGCAGTTTAAAAGTGATATGTCTCCTCAAGCCATGTCTTTCCATGCCTGGTGTCCAGGAATGGACTTCAGGAGCTTCAATTCCTGTCACCAGATAGAGGACACCCCTTGCTAACCTGAATTGGAATTTATTTGGGAAGAAATAAATTTTTGTTCTTATAAGTCATTGAGATTTGAGGTCTACCTACTATTACTACAGTATGTTTTTCATTACACAAATGTTTATTTTAGTCTTACAATGCACTAAGCACTGTTTAAGCAACTAAAATTACAAAGCTCCTGAAACTTGGAATGTTGGTTTCAATATCACAGTAATCCAGCCTCCTAAACTGCTCACACAGGATTCTGTACTCTTTGATCTGTACATTCCCAAGTTACCTCTAATGAGGATAAAAGAAGGATAAATTAGGAAATAATAATTGGCATTACATAATCAAGAGAGAAACAAATGTCCAATTTAACAAATAAAATGAATTAAAAGTTTTTCTCAGGGTGGAAGTAAAAGCAGAGTAAAGTTATTTAGGAATCAACATGTTTAAAGTGAATTATCTGGGTTTTATGGACTTATCTCTAAAATATGTCTTTGTATTTTTAAGGGGAAAAATTAGAGTTTATCAAATGCTATATTTAAGAATTTGGAATTCTCAAGTTGTGTCTTCATATAAGCAATAAAAAATATTGCCTTAAAAGCCTATAATGGCCAATTTACTATAATCATTTCCTCATCTGCACAATTATAAAATCCAACTACTGTCAAAGTTTAGTAGTCCTACCTGCTACAAGACCATGGTTCTCACTCTTTAAATATGTATTAAAATGGGGATGTGAGACAGTGGTAGAGCCCTTGTCCAACATTATCTATGTCCTGGAGTTCAATCCCCAGTGTCACAAAACAAAACAAATCATTCTGCTATAGCTGCTTTAAAATTTCTTGGAATGTGTTAAGGACATATAACTGAATAAACATTCAGTTTTAGAGACGATAAACAAAAAAAGAGTTAAGTGACAATTGCCAGATTGAAACTGGTTTTAGAACTCAGAACCAAAGTGGGTGCTCTTAACCTACTGCAAAATGCAGCTTCTGTTCATCATGTTCACCAGCCTCAGATGATCTTTGTGCAGAAAAGAAAAAAATACTACTTAATATATATTTCCATGGCCTCCTATTGGAAGAATAGTAGAATTTAATTAGGATATTTAAACCATTAATTGTTACTTAAGCACACAATGTGAACTAAAATGGAATCCAATGTTAGTATTTCTCTTGCAGAACATAATTACAGATTAGCCATGCATTGAAAACCACAAAGGGTTCTAAGATATTCTACAGTACAGTTATTTAGAAAGATGTAAGTAATAACTTCATTTAATCTGATTAATACCTCAACCATAATTAAATGTAGAAGATCAAGCTACACTACATTCAGGTTAAGCCCATTCAACAAGAAGTCAATCTGACCTTTCTGTGTTTCAAGCAAACCAGGACTTACTCAAAATGAACCAATACAGAAAACTTCATCATTACAAAAATGAACTTTTAAGACCACAATTTTCTGTTAATCTTGACAGCATAACTAAATTTATTCAGTAACTGAAATAGCTATTTATTAAATCTTTAGAAAAATTTTCAGGGCATAAAACAGGAACAAAACACTAAGTTTTTTCTTTTAAATGTTGCTACAGCCATTTTTCATGTGGGCACCAAGAAAAAAAATTATCATCAAGCAACAAATAATACTCATCTATAAAACTAGGTAGACAGTAATCATGATAGTATAGAAATCACAACGATTTATTCCATCATACAAGATGTGCTTTATGATAATGTTTAATGTTTTTTAAGTTAGTTATCCTAGACATCATGCAAATAGAAATATAAATATTCTAACTTTATAAAATTAATGAAAAATTAAATGCTATGCATCTGAGAAAATACAGAAGAACATCAAGTTCGAGTTTCCTCAATGCACAGGAGCAGAAACCCATTAAAAAGGAAAGCTAAAGTAAAAATTTATCTTTCCATATTACATGAAAAGAAAAATAAAAATGGATATGAGCTTGTAGGTTTCTGTCTCAAAATTATAATCATTCTTTTACAAAATACCAATATCTTTAAACATATCTATTGCCAACCTATTGAAATCTTTTTCTATGTGTCTACCAATTCAAAACTAAAGTAATTTTTTGGAGGGTGGCAGGCAATTTTTCTAAAAATCGAAGATACGTGCCATTTATTTTGCAGAACATCAAAACTGATACATGTTTACCTGTTAGATTACACATAACATCTCATGGCCCTGCTCTACCAAAACACCTTCTCCTTTGATGCTCTGCTCCTTCTGTTGATATAAAAGTCTGTATTTCACCTAAAGCAAGTATCCAATGAAGTATAACAATTTTAATTAAATGTTTTCAAAGAATTTGAACCAGAAACATCATAGGCTCATCAAATGAAATAAATTGCACAAATCAAGTTAATTTTAATTTAAAATGCCTTAATACCAAAATAACTTTTTAAAAATCCATGTAATTTGGGAATCAAGTTTATCAATATTTTTTAAATGCCCTAGGTACTAGTAATCTGAGTATATGACTTAAAATAAAAGCCCTTCCATGGACAAATATATATTTGCAATATATATATATATATATATATATATATATATATATATGCATGCTTTTATTATCCAGACATTAGAGTGATAAAATAAAATTTAATTAACTAGTCAAGTAATCCCACAATATTTTATATCTTTTAAGAAAAACATTGCTTTAACTAAAAATTTCAAAGTCCTTAATCTTGGCTATCATTGATGGTGTCAAAATAACTAAGAATGTTCCAAAAATTGAAGAATAACTTTGACTGTAATAATTCTACAATAGGACTGTTTTTTGCCATAGCCCCAGCAATATTTTTAGACCTTATATATCACAGCCATTTTTTGGTATTTATATAAAAGATTTTTTCCCCTTACTGGTAACCAATAGCATCTTTGACTTCTTTCTATCTAACTATAATTTTTAAAAACATTTTAGTTGAATTTAATCACTACTTATTTCAGTCAGAATATGGCACACCAGCAGAAAATATAAAGAAATTTATAATAGATATTCCATCATAAAGAATGATTAATGTGCTAGGTGATTACCCCCAACTGATCTTTGCATAATGTATACATGAGTCAAAATATCCCATTATATCCCATAACTGTGTATAATTATTACATGTTCATTAAATGTTTCAAAAAGTGTATATTGGAATTAATATAATGGTGAAAACCTCTGACTCCTAAATAAAGCACAGTGAATTTTGCCTTCTGATAATACATAATACTGTGAAGATTAAATGAAGTAAAACCTTAATAATATTTTCTTTTCTTTTATTTTGGATTGGATATTGACAAATTATAATTGTACTATACATATTTCTGGGGTACAGAATGATGCTGCATGTAAACAGTGCAAAATGATTAAATCAAACTAATTAACAGACCTATAATATATAACACATGTGTTAAGAAATTAATGGTGAAATCAGCAATTAGCCAGCCAATGCACAGGTTACTCCTTGACACAGTCAACATAAGAGGCCATGTAATCTGTGTCGCAGCCAAAACGACAGCGAGGCTTAGCTCAGTGCCCTGTATCTCTAGCTTTATTTGAACTTATGATCTGTTGATTAATTAATTTGAACCCTCTGTGTCAGGCTTTCTCAAAATCAATAAATCATTTAAAATTATTTATGACTAACTCAGGCATTGTTAAAACACTTAGAAAAGACAATACTTTAATAACTGTTAGATTAATCTTAGGCTACTATGATCTGTGACGAGTAAAATAACCAAAACAAATGTATGAATATGTAAGCTCCAAAAATGCTGAAAAATTGATCTGATTTGAAAAGCAAGCAAACACACTTCTACATACTTTTCTACATTTTTACTTACTTTTTAAATTTTTATTTACTTTACTTTTCTGCTGTTTTTATCTTCTGTTCATTCATTCAGAAAGTATTTATTAAGCATTTACAGGGTTAAGATAAACTTCTGGTCCCCAGAGTCAAGGATGAGATGCCCTGGTCTTGCCTAGGTAGTGCAAAGACAAAGACAAAGACAAACCTGAAAACCTCACATAACACACACAGGATGTGATTAATGCTGCAGACACCAGTGGGTGTGGATGGAATTTCCAACACATGTTATCTCTCTGTAAATATATTCCCTGGTTAAAATCCTGACTCATCTGTTCAGTACAGCAAAGTTCCAAAAATAACACTTTTCACAGATCCTTTTATTCATAGAGTGAAATGTAATAGCTCCGTATGCCTATTCAATTGAGAAAAGAAGGCAAAGTCAGCTTCCTTATTTTTCAGGAGGAACAAGAAATTGTCCACTTTAAATTCTCTGCAGGTCTATACTTTGAAAAGGAATCAGACTAGTGCAAACAAAAGTTTATCCTTTTATTATCTAACATTACAAAGAAATAATTCTTTCTAGGATATAACAAGAAGCATTTTGCTACAAAATCTGTTTGGTCAGGTTTTTAAAACAACAAAATAAGAGTCACTTAAAAAGTCAGTAAATCCACATTCTTTAATTCAATTAGGAATTAAAGTTAAGTCTATTACCAATAATGTACATGTTTTCTGTTGATGTATAATATTAAGGTAATTTTATTTTCTCTCTTTTCTATGGTTTTTTTAAAGGGGCAACAGTGGGAAAATGGAAATATAAAATAATGAAGAAGGCCCCAAAGTAAAGAGACCTGGCTTCTCAGCCTGATGTCATGCTGAATGCATGTAACTTCAGCATTCTGGAGGCTGAAGCAGAAGGATCATAAGTTTGGGTTTAAACTGGGCAATTTACTGACTTGCCAGGACCCTGTCTCAAACTTAATAATTTAAAATGAGCCAAAATTGTGGATTACAACCCTAATACCACAAGAAAGAAGGACTCAAGGAGGAAAAAAGGAGGGAAGGAAGGGAAGATGGAGGGGAGGAGGGAAGGAAGGTAGGGAAGGGAAGGGGAGGGGGAGGGGGAAGGGGAGGAGAGGGGGAGGGGAGGGAAGGGAAAGGAAGGAGGAAGAGAGACGAGAGAGAGGACGGAAAGAAGGAAAGAAGGAGGTAGGAAGGGAGGGAGGGAGGAAGGGAAGAAGGAGAGGGGGAGGGAAGGAAGAAGCAAAGAAGGGAGAGAGATGGGAAGGGAAGGGGACAAGCTAAGTAGGAAGGTAGGGAGGTAGGCTATGGACATATTTGATTACTAATTCATTGTTCACAAATTACTTAATTTCTGTGAATATTGTCTGTGGAGTGGAAATTAAGAAGAAACCTAACCCTGCTGGTGATGAGTTTAAACACCATACCTTATAAAGGATCTGTGAGATGCCCTATGTAATAACAAGCTTCCAAAAACCAATTTGGAAATAAACTCCGAAAAATCTGCCTTTAAAAATAAATACAATATTTTCATCCAACTACTAGAGAAATAAATGATTCACAGAGTTACAGGGAAAATAAAAATAAGAAGCTCTAAGTGATAACTGGAAACGCCCTGCTTGCTATTATACTTAGGGACTTTTAAAAATGTTATTAAAATGTACTTGTAAATTTTCTAAGTATCAGAAGCTCAGAGTGAGCAAGAAAATTAGAGTCATTAAGAAAACTCACACTTCCTTTTTTTACTCCTTTGCTTAAAAGGACTCTCACTAGAAATAGACATCTTACATCTGTCCCCAAGTGCTAGAGGTTGGTTTGAAAAATAACTTCAACCCACACAAAGCTATTTTGAATTTTTTTAAATGGCTGAATATTTGAGATGTTTTTATTGGTACTTTTTTGTGGTTTAGGAGATATGTAAAGCAGAAGTTTCTTTGTTGGTTGATTGATTGGTTTCAGTCTTAATATCTAGCATCATGGAGACTGAGGAAATGGCTCAGGGGTTGGGCCTGGACCTTGGAGCCAGACATTCAGACCCACCCTTTTCCCCAAGGTGGCGACTACTTCCATAACAAAATTCATCATTCTTTCTCTTTTTGGGCATGTGTTTGGTGACAGCCTGAACACTACTCTGCGAGTGCTGTAGTCCAGCATCAGACAGAAGTTAAATTCCAATGGTGTGTGGTAAATGCTGACAACTGCCTGGGGACAGAAGGGGAAAGTGACTTATTTGTATTTGCTCATTCCCAGGTTGTGAAAACACCAGCTGTGACAGATTTCTAGCTACCAACCTGAAATCACTGAACTTGAGTTGAAAACTTGAGACGTTCACTTTTTTATGAGCTCATGTGCTGCTGGCTCCAGCAAGGCACAGAAAACATTTCCTACCCAATGCAAGACACTTTCTCCTGGAGACAGAAAAACAACATCCCACACCAGCAACATATATAGTATGTCAGATACTGGCAGTGTGATGAGGGAAAAGAGGAGAGGCAGGGAAGTTCAGCAGGCTGTGTGGGGTAGGAAGGAACAATTCTAAGTAGGATAGTCAGAAAAGAGTCAATTCAAAAATGACATTTGCGCAAGGCCTGAACATGGAGAAGGGTAGGAGGGACCCAGTGGGCACCAGGGAAGAAGCATTTCAGGAGGAGTGTTTCAGGGGCTGCATAATAGACTTAGGTATTTACATGAAGGATTTCCCAAGTGAGAAAGGGAAGACATTGAAAGGGTTTTTCTGGTGTTTGCTTTGTTTCTAGCAGAGAAGTGACGCACTCTTTCTAATGTTTTGAGAATTACTCATTTGGAGGTGAGCAAAGGGACAAGTTTTGCAATAATCCAGGCAAGAGGCAAAGGTAGCTTGGATCAGGGTGGTAGTTGAGAGAATAAGACATGATGAGACTGGATACCTTTTTTTTTTTTTTTGGTACCAGGGATCGAATTCGGGTCTTTCCGCGGGGGAACCACTGCGCTAAATCCCCGGCCCAGAGACTGGATATCTTTTGAAGGTAGAGTCAACAACACTGGGCGGTGTCTAGCATGTGGGCGGGGCAAAGAGGCACTCGCAAGATGATTCCAAGGATTTTATGCTAACCAGAAGGATGGAGTCAGCATTTGCTGAACTGAAGAAGACAAAGAGGAGTCAATTTTGAAATAAAGATTAGGAGTTCCTTTGAACGTGTACAGTTTGATATGCAATATGACACTTAATTGGAGATGTAGAACCAGGCACCCAGGCGTGGGAGTCTAGTTTCCAGGAGTGGTTTGGGTTGAAGGTAAAACTGTCCAACTGTTTCAGAGACACATAATATTTAAATCTCTAGGACTCGAGGAAAGCACCAGGAGTGTGAATGTAAACTTCTTTAAAATTTAATTATCCCTGTAACAAACACATTTTCCAGCACCGCGGTCAGTGATTTGCAAGTATAAGCTTATTGAATTCTCCTAACAACTCCCAGTAAGCAGAAATTATTTTACCCTTTTATAAATGAAAAAGCAAAACAAAACAGAAGTACGAGCTCTTAGATTAAGTAACTTGCCCACATTCACAAGTAAATGGTGACTAAGTGGCAGATGTGGAATTTCTCACCAATCATCCAGAACCAGAGTTGTGACAGAGAAAACAAGTTGTCTAAGGGTGTGAGGCTTCAGGAATTGAAACATTTACAGGAAAAGGAGGTGAGAGGCAGATCAATAAATCTTATCCAAAGCAGCTAACACTTCTCTGACTTTTCCCAGAAAGTCTAACTATGCTCAGAGTGAGTGAATACCGGAAAAACAGAGAGTAGACACAAAAACAACCTTTTATTTACCTTTATCCTTTTCTATACTTTCTATAATAAGCCCATGTGACTTCTAGAATCAGGGGAGGTTGTACTAAAATAATAGAAACAGCAGATCTGCCTTTTAAAATTAAACCTTGTTTCATGTCATTCTCTGTTTCAAATTAAACCTTCTTTTCATATCATTTTCTGTTTACAACACCACTCAATGAGACATTTCAACCATAATCGCTATAAAAAGACTAAAGTTTCTTCACAGAGTGTGAATAAGGTTTGCGTATAATTTATTGTGTGAACTAAAACAATTCTTGAAATTAAAGGGGAGCCCTGTCGATTATACCATGACAGCAAGTGTAGTCTAGGACTACTGTCAATATACTTGAAGAGATGATAGACACCCTAGGTAGCCTCTTTCTTAAGAACAGAGGTAGTATGAATAGACAGATACGGAATGACTTGGTCCATGAAAAATATCAAGCACTGTTGGAGTCTTCTTACAGTTCCTTGTAGTTAAATGCACCTTAATTGGTCACTGACGTTGTTTAGATTTTTTATTAACTACTTGTTACAACTAGACATCAGAGAGTGTTCTAGGTGAGTATGAAAAATACTGAATTTGGGCTCATTAGTCCTTAGGATGTAAAACAATAATACAGGCTTAAGCTATTTTGGTTATCAAAGCCTTATTTCAAGGACTTGGGAAGATATATTATACATTTAAGCATAAATGAAATCTGATAAGAAATCACTTTGCACAGTGATTAAATACATTTATCATAGCTCAGAAAGAACTCTCTTCATTCCGATTTGGACTTAAATGCACTGAAAAGAAAAAGAATACCTAAGAATCCACTTGTACTTCCTAATCTGTTTTTAATGTGATTCAAACAGTAATGATGTTAATATATACAAGATAAAATGGCAAAGTGGAAATACAAGGAATATACTGTACCTTGTTTTACCTGTAAGGAACACACACCTGACAAAAGGCAACTTTCACATCCAAGGTTGGTTCACTGCAGTAGTATAAGAAATGGAGGCTCATAAATACCTGAAGAAAAAAAGGGAACAAGAATTTACAAATCACGATTTTTCATTTTTAATATTAGAGATGTTAACATGACTTGAATTGTACACAAGGTGTTGTTCACAACATATATTTACCATAATTCTTACCCAAACCTGTACTAAGTCCTTTTCAGGAACTATAAATATTAAATAATAAAAATATTGTAAAATATTTTATCTTCCATAATATTCCATAATATTACAATCCTAAAGATTAGTTATAAGAAATCAAATATACACAATAAGTTAAAACAAAATTCATCCTAATGTATTACACTTTCAGTTCTATGGCTTTAAATTTAAAAACAGCATGGTATTGGCACAAAAACAGACACATGGATCAATGGAACACAACAGAGGAAGCAGAAATAACCACAGGCACATTCAGCTATTTCATCTTTGACCAAAGAGCCAAAAAATACATTGGAGGAAAGATAGCCTCTTTAGTAAATGGTGTTAGGAAAATTGGCTATCTATATGCGGAACATTTAGTCTAGACCCATATAACTCACCATGTATTAAACTAAAATCAAAATGGATCAAAGAACTAAATATTTAAAACAGAAATATTTAACCTGCCAGAAGATAAAATAGGTAAAACTATTGAAGCAATAGGTATAGGCAAGGACTTTCTCAAAGAATCCCAATGGCACAAGAAATAGTATCAAGAATCAACAAATGGGACCATAGCAAATTAAAAATTTCTGCACAGCAAAGAAAACAACCCAACAGAGTGAAGAGATAACCTACAGAGTGGGAAAAAAATTTTCCAGTTATTTCTTGGACAGAGGACTAACATCTAGAATATACAAAGGACTCAAAGATATTAGACACCCTAAATTTAGAGACCCAATCCAAAAGTGGGTAACTAGAATAAATAGACACTTCTCAGAAGAAGTACAAGTGGCCAATAAATACATGAAAAAAAATGTTCAGCATTGCTCACCAGTAGAAAAATGCAAATTAAAACAACACTGAGATTCCATCTTACTCCAGAAAGAATGGCTATCATCAAGAGATCAAATAATAAGAAATTCTGGTGAGACCATGGAGGGAGAGGAACCCTTCTACACTGTTGGTGGGAATGTAAACTTGTACAATCACTATGGAAATCAGTATGGAGGTTCCTTAAAAAACTGAAACTGGAAATTCCATCTGACCCAGCTATTCTCTTTCTAAGTGTCTTGCTGAGTTAAAGACACCATATTTCAGTGATACATGTATACCCATGTTTATTGCAGCAAAATTCATAATAGCTGAATCTTAGAAAAGACCTTTATGTCCATCAAAGGGTGAATGGATAAAGAAAATACAATATTTATACATGATGGAGTACTACTCTGCCATAAGAAAGATAAATTTGAGTCATTTGTAGGAAAACAGATGCACCTTGAGATAACAGTACTAACAGTGGTTCTGGCGCCTGCCTCACAAGTACAAGGTCCTAAAGCATTTTAAAACAAATGCTAATGCAAGACTTCTGTTTCTGACAGTATGGTTTAGATATCTTGAAAATCACTCCTAGTAAAAATTCCTAAAATGTTAGATGAAACATGCAAAGCATATTTTAAATGCACTGCTAAGTTGCAAAACAACAAAGGCAAGAAAAGTGTTGAGAAGCTGAAAGCATGGGAGAGGATCCATGCAGAGAAGTAAATGAGCTGAAGCTGCTATTTGTCCCAGGCCATCTGCCGATGACATCTGATAACTAAAATTTCAATTTTTAAAGAAACACATGCAGCGTACAAGAAATAGAATTTCGAGGTACTGTGGTGGGAAGTGACACTGGAGAAACACCTGCATAAATCTTATTAGAAGACAAAATGTTTTGCATTGGAATTTGATATGCAAATTTTTCAATTTAAGGAAGAATGAAAGGACAAAAGTATTAAAGATGTTTTTGAAAAAGAACAGAGTGGGTATTTGGATGTGGGAAAGAGAATTGCTGTTACAAAGATCACGACTTACTATAAAGCTTTAGTAAGTATAAATGTGTGAAACTGACGCAGAGATAAAGCAAATTAATAGAATAGAGAGCCCAGAGATATGTGCAATCATAGGTGGAAACCTGATTATGGTGAGGTCTGCACTGCAGACATCTGGGAAAAGAAGCTGTGTTACTGAGACAATTAGTCCTTAATGTGCCGGGAGCGGGGTGGGGGTGGGGGGTAAAAATGAATCCCTACTGGAAAATGATTCTCTGTAGGCCTCAGCATTTCTGCATGTCTTACAAATAAAAGCTCTGGCGGACCCTGTTCCAATCTCTCTTCTCAAAGGTGATTATACACAGACCTCCCTGAAAAATAGAGGTAGTCTCTCCTACTGGAGCAAATGGGTTTGACTACTCTCCAGTACTATATGAAGTGTCTCCCTGGGGCCAAATCAGGCAGGGCTACTATCCATTATAAAAGATTTGGGTTCCCTAAGTGTGGGTTCCTTGTCTATGATGCTACTCACGATTTGCACAATAGTCATCTAACCTTCTTTGCATCACCTCATGGGAACTGAGGTCTGAAGAACTGCTATGAATTCTGACACTTGGATCTGATATGAAACTCTTGTGCCTTCTGCCAGTACTCACGAAATCGTGGCAGGCTGACTTGTAAGCTTGTAAGCAGAGTAAGATCTCAGACTCTCCAGGATTGTTGACAACCCCTACCCCACATTATATAGAGAAAATAATCCCAGATGAATTAAAAACTTTAGGAAAGGTCAAACTTCAAGTATTATAGAAGGTAATATAGTTGAATATCTGAGAAATATAAATAATATACAAATATGTTAAGGTGTAAATTATTGATAGAGTACACTAAATTCATTGACTTGCGTTTATAAAAAATGTGATAGAGTTTTTTTAAAGTAGGGCACAAATTTGGAGAAGATATTTGAAATATACAACCAGTGTGAAATTTATCTAGAATCTCTAGAGTGCTTTAAAAACAAGAAGAAAAAAACAAATAACCCTCCAACATATGAGAGACATTTCATAGAAAAAGAAATACAAAGCGGTCCATAAATACAAGTATAAATTAAAACCACATTGAAATATTATTTTATGCCCATAAAATTGTCAACAGCTGAAGAATATGATGGTATTATGAATTTCCAATGAGGTTAGCCAGATAGAAATATTTATACACTGCTGATAGCTATAAAATTAAAACTCAGTTTAGGGGAAAAATCAGAATTACTTATTGAAATTTTTCATAGCCTAAAATTCAGGGACTCCAGATCTACACATATTCCTAGAGAAACTCTTGTGTTTTACTAGCAGGTACATGTACAAGAAAGTTCATGACAATATTTCTGTAACAAAACTTAAATAACAAGCAAAAAAAGATACACAGAGTCCACCAAAAACTGTATATGTATACACACTTCAGGAAAAGAAAAATGTATGATGTTTTTTCAACAGATGGTGTTAGCTTCATATGGGGACCCTAGAGGATGTTGTATGTCATAGAAAACCCACTACACTGCCAGCCCTTAGAGAAGAAATGAAAATCCTTATGCAGCCATCTCAATGACCAGGGTTACCCAAGCAATAGCTCACCATACTAATAAATGTCTGGAAGATAAAGGCCACCACTTTGAACACCTCTTGTAATTTTAGAGTCCAAAGGTAACTTGTATTAATCTCATGATGTCTCAATAAATATATTATTAAACTATTTATACAAGCTTTATTTCCCTGAACTGTGTATATATATTTTTTGATAGATTCTTTATGCATAGAGAAAACAATGAATAAATAAGTTTTGGCGCATTCCTTTCGTGGATTACCATAAAACAATGAAATGGTTGAGAAGGGTAACAAGTATAATCATGACAAATATTTCATGAATATGACAAAGAAATTTTGAAAATATGCAAAACAACAATATATTATTTAAGAATACTGCTTTACTATGATAAAGCTTTTAAAAAGCAAGGGACTAAAGAAAAAAATTCAAGAGATTAGATAACTCCTTGAGAGTTGAGGAATGTTAGGGAAAGAATTGATCTCATCATCTTGGATCATGAGATAAGAATGTGCTTAATTTAGGAAAATCTTCCAAGCCCATTTCCAACCATGCTGTGGTTTGGGTGACTTGAGCTTGCCCCACACCTAGAAGCTTAGTCTTCATGAGTCAATGTTAAAAGTTAGTGGGACCTCTAAGAGGTGAGGATATGCCCTTAGAAGAGTTGATTAGTTCTTCTAGGACTCAATTAATTATGAAAGTGACTTCTTACAAAAAGGAATAAGATTTGCCCTTCCAAATGCTCTGGCTTGCCATCTGGCTGTATAATCTCTCCCTGGCAAGTGCTCCTCCCAAATTAATTCCATCTCCCATGAGGTCCTCACTGGAACCAAGCCAGTGCATGCCATGCCCTTGAACCTCCAGAACTGTGAGCTTATTATGCTCTTGACTTTCTTTAAATTTTATTTTATTGGTACATTTTAGGTATACAATATCATGACATTCATCATTGGAAATTTTCACCTTTACATAATCCCTCTTGGTTCTTATTTTTCCCCCTTGCCCAGCCTTCCCTTCAACCCCTCCATCCCTCCCTATTTAAAAAGACTTTGTTTCCAGTTTTTCATTTACTCATATTAATTCCACTCCCTTCTTTCCTTTCCCCTACCCCTCCCACTTCCCTTCCCCTTTGCCCCTTTTCTTCCTATTTCACATTATCTATTATACCTTTTAGTCCTTGTTTACACTTTCAGTTTCTCACACTAGGGAAACTATTCACTATTTACACATGTGTGTCCTATTTATTTCACTTAAGAGTATTGCCTTAATGTGCATCCATTAAGCTATAAATGTCTG